GTGCCTGTGGGGTCTCAGCTCCCCCTTCCCCCCCTGCCCGTGGGGTCTCAGTCCCCTCCACTCCCCCCCCTGCCCGTGGGGTCTCAGCCCCCGCCCCTCCTCTGCCCCCACTGCCGTGGAGTGTCCACCTCCATGTTGAGCCCCCCTCGTAGCCCCTTCATGCCTGTGGTGTTTCAGCGCCCCCGCACCCCAGTGGGATCTCAGTGCCTGGGCTGCCTCTTCGTTGTCTGGCCTGGGGCCTCAGTGTCTTCCCCAAGTCCTCCCTCCCAGCTGTGCCTTCAAGGTGTTTCTGAGCCATCATTGTCCCTTAGAGATGTCTCTGTGCCAGGGCCTCCCTTGCCTATTAATTCCCCCTTCTCCAATCTCCCCCATCACTCTCCAGGCAGAAGCCTCTCCTCTCCATGTGTTCATACACCGCCAAGATGTGACTCTATGTGCCTGCTCTCCTGCCCAGTGGGGTATCACTTTGGTGCCAGGACCCCTCACCCAGTATAACACTAACTCCCCCTCCACCTTCCTAGCTGCTTTCACTGTGTGTGCTTAGAAATCTAATCATACCAACCTATGGAAATTGACTTCACCATAACTGTGTCCTGTATTGACACCATGAGGACAAACAAAGAATACCCCACGGTATAATTAAAAATCACTTCACTTTAATCTGGCACCACATACAATAAGAAAGTGGAGTTAAGGTTGTTTGGGTGTCTTAATTGTGCATTTCTGGATTTCCTAGGTTGTAATGCTTGTTTTTAGTGTAACTAGGATACATATTTTCAACCTTAATTTCAGTTGAGCACAATATTTGAATGTAAATTTTCTTTAAAAAAATTAAGGTATTATTCCTGAACACTGAACAAGAAAATCAAACAAATGTGTTACCATGTGATATATCTAATGAGTCGATGTGCAATACCAACCTTAAAATTACTTTTTTATTTTAACTTATGTATCTGATTCATGGTATGATCTGGTTGCATAGTGTTATCCTGGAGCAGCAATGGGCAACCTAGCCTAGTTGAATGGGCTGCATGAGTGGCCCTCACTCATCTGTGGATCGCAAGGTTGTCATAATCAAGATAGTCTCCCAGGATAATTTTGTTTTGCTAACTGCGCTTGCGCACCTAGAATTTGCGGGGTTTGCTGAAGTGCTGATTGAACTGTAGCAGCACTTTGATTGGATGCAGGGGAAGTACGCAGCTCTCTGTCAGTGTTGTGTGCAATCAGCACTCACCTCATTTCACATGCTCTTGCTTTAAGAGCGTCTCACTAGTAATACTGGTAAAAAAAAACCTTAGCTGCTGGAGACCAGTGTAATCTGGCAATTTTGCACCTGGGCAACAGTAAACAAAATGTCTCACAGGCCAAACATAGAACCCTGATGGGTCACATGTGGCCCTCAGACTGCAGGTTGCCTACCCCTGCTCTGGAGTCTCCTACAGCTGCCAGCACTTACTATCCGTGTATGATGAGTTTACAGGTGTGTTTTTACAGTGCAAAGTAGCAGGAGTACACTGGTGAATCTGAACTGTAATTTGTGGTTGATTTATTGATTTAGTAATCTGGAATTACAG